ATGTTAACAAAATGACGTAGAAAGCGCAACTAGATCAAAATTATACAAGCACAACTAGATCAAATTATAATACCTGAGTGCTTGACGTAACAGATATAGAAATAGAATTTGATACCATAAAAAATTATATAGAAATAGAAATTGATACCATAAAAAATTTATTCGTTTTCGTGTTCTTTTCATGTATTTAGCATTTTAGTTTTTTTTTTCTTAAGCGTTGAAGCTATATAATTTCAAACATCCTCAAGAGCTATAACACATCTTGCAGCAGAACTGGATATGAAGACAAAATTGCAGGACAGGAACACTTTAATTGTCCACTAATCTTCAGATTTCCTGCTATGTTTTAAAAAACTTTATTTGTGAAAACCTTCAGCGTGGCGGACAGCTGGCCGCCTTAGGCGGCTAGTATGAAATAAAAATTTATATGAATTTCATTAAAAAATTTTGATTACATTTCTTAATTTTCCCTGGCTTGAATTTATATTTTTCAAATAACTCCAAAATCACAACATTTCCCCAGATACTTTTACAATATGAGCTCTTATGACTATACAAATCCTTGTAAAACCATTTTTTTTCTTCATAATTATCTATCAATATTTGATTGCAAGTATTCCCTGCTTGATTTTGATTGTAAAGATTAACGTACCTATCAAGAGTGCATGAGCCTAATTATATTACGTAATCAAGATAGTAGAATTATATCGAATTTTAAACTAATTAGTTCACAAAAGCAGAAGGGAAGGAAATTGAGAAGTAAAAGGTGAAAAGAACATTGAAGTGTCAAGGGGTATTTAACAGAAAAACTTTAAAATTAGCAACAACAAAAAAACATTATTTGCATTTTTCAAACCTTGATCTTATTACTTAAGATAGCTTTTATCTTTGATGATTTTTTTTCCGGCTAGCACTCTGTTAAATATGATGAAGTTTATGAGAGATCTAAGTTTCTCTCAGCTAATAAAGAGAAATAAAACATTATTTCCCGGAAAGATTTATTGCAAAAGATACAGTAATATTTCCGCCACTTTTCCACATAAGAACCACGGGATTATAATATTGTTCATAGAGATGTCTAAGTTGCCGTCATTTCACTTCCTTGTCCACTAAAAATCCATCAATGATCAATCAGTTACAGATGGGCCAATAGGAATACGTTTCGATTAAAATGGAAATACGAATCGTCCAATAAGAACAGTACAAACAACTAGTTGCCATTCACAACCACAAAATTATGACAATTGATTTATTACACTCAATGATGTAGTTCAATCTCTGGCTTCGACAGCTTTATAATGTGGAGCAAGTCTTTGTAGTTGAATGCCATAGGAATCGAGTTTGCCACTGGGAATGAAACAGTCGTGCTAGAGCTGCCTGTTGTGGAAAGGTTTTGTCAGATAGATCACGAACAAGAACAGAACTCAATGAAAGCTTCAGAAATTTCCTCACTGAAGATACAGAAGTTTTACTGGTGTTCGACATCCACCCTAAAGAGGTGTTTGACATTCACCCTATTCTCCCGATCTAGCTCCCAATGATCTGGTTCCATCCCCAAGAGGCAAGCTCCTGTGATACTCAACTAGAAAAATTTATCTCACAGTTTGACAAGTGTTACAGTTACGCTAGCTCCTGTGTTGAGAAACAAATGAAATACTACTGTATCTTTTGCAATAAATCTTTGCAGGTAACTATGTTTTGTTTCTTATTTTTCTTTGAAGCAGGGGAAAATTACTTTCCAGATAACCTTGGCAAAGAGTCATGGGCATTTTGGTAATTATTTTTATTAAAATGATGTTTCGAAATTTATTTCAACCTTTCATAAACTGAAGTTTTCTTGTTTAGAAAGGTTTGTTTTAAGAATGTTTTTTCTTAAAAATCTGAATCTAAATTTTAAATAAAGAAAAAAGTTGGGGATGTTTTTTATTAAGTCTCTAAAAAATCAAGATTTTCTGTATTGTCAACTGTGGCTATCAAAAATAGCCCCTAATATCTTGACAAATCTGTAAGAAATTATGCATCATTTTTCCAAATTTATGTTCGCCGCGAAAATCAGGAGTGATTTATCAACGAAACTTTTTAAATTTTTAATCAGCTCATAGACTTAAGTTTTTAAATTTTTCGAGTAAAAATTTAAGATATTATTCCTAAATCCGGACAATATTTTCTAGTTTTTAAAATTTGTTCTTTGGTGACCTGATAATGAAACAATAAAAAAAAACTGTTTCCTCTATTGTTTGGTTAAAAAAAAATTTTAGATTATCAAAAATCATGTTTTAAAAACATTTGGCCAACCTTTTTATTAGTTTTGAGTTTAATATTCAAAAATCATTTGTTAAAATTCATTTGCTAAAATTCATTTGTTCAAAATAATTTGTTAAAAATAATTTGTAAGAAGACTTTTGTTAAAACTCATTCTGATCTCCTCCTTTCTAATTCTTTAAACACTCATTTTTCTTCCAAACTCTTCAAAGTTTTTATGTATTTTGATTAAAACTTTAAGAAATTATGTTTATTTTTCCATTTTTTAAAAAAAATTGATCTTTGTACTCTGATTAGTTTTTAAGCGAAACAAAAGAAACTGAAACTGCTTTCTTTTTTGTTTGGTTGAAAATTTTTCGAGGTATCAAAAATCATGCTTTAAACAATTTTGGCAAAATTTCACCTGTCGTATACCAAGCTCTTTATTGGTTTTCAACTTAATGTCTAATTTTAAAAAAAAGCTTTAAAGCATTATTCCAAAGAATAAAAGAAAAAGTTTAAAAAAAAAAAATTTACAGCTAGTATCCGAATAAATTCTTAAAGGAAACAATAGAAGAAACTGTTTTTTCTAATTGCTCGGTTAAGTAATTATCAGGGTATCAAACATTATGCCTTAAAAACTTTTCTTGAGACTGCCCCTTACCTACGGCAAGCTTTTTACTGCTTTTGAACTTAATATCTATTTTTCACTAATGTCTAAAAGAACTTTGTATTTAGAACTAACGGTTTTTTTGAACTGTTGCTTAAAAACTTTTTTTCAGCATGGGTGAACTTTGTTCAAACTCATTCGCGGCTTTGGATGGAGAGTGTTTTAGATTGGCTTCAATTCCAAGGTCCTCTTATGGTACTGAGATACGAAACCATCATCGATGAGCTACCGAGCCAACTCATTCACTTGCTGAAGTTCTTGGACACGAATGTCTCTTGGAATGCCTTCCAGTGTGTGCTCCGTAACCGTGACGGCATCTTCCGCAGGGCCAGGAAACAACTAAACTTTGATCTCTTTGACGACTCTCTGAAGAAGATAGTTGAGGGTTACAAGAAAATAGTAGAAATGGCGCTTTATTACCACGAACAGGGTATCAAGTTCGATATTAGTAATACAACACTTTCTCAAGATGCTGATGATGGTTTGTCCAATGTATCAGTACTTCCAGTTACTTACGTTGATAAGGATCAAAATATTATTTCTTGATACAGAGCTCTCATCTCTTACTTTAGTCGTTTATTTATTTTCTGAATACATGTGATTTTTGTGAATGATCTCAATCATTGTGCTGATATGTTTGTGTACGTTGAACAGTAGATGATAGAAGATGTATAGAACAAAGCGTTTCTGGAAGAATCTTTTGTTTTTCTGAGAAGCGAAATTCATCTAATTTACGAGAACGGATAATTAGAATGAATTAAGCTGTTTATGGTAATATAGCTATAAACAGAAATGTTCTCTAAGAATATCTGTGTTATTCTGATTTGTTGTATAAAATAGGGTAATCTCTAATCATAATCCATTGGAATGTATTTAAGGCTGCTGTGTTGTCTTTTAAGAAAACTCTGCATTCATATTTTCCATAATATGTTACATTTAGCTATAAAAGTTTGAGCAACTTACAAGTTTCAGTTGTTGAATGAGTTGCAGTCTTTATAAAAATGTCCTAATGTTGGCGAAATAACATAGTTTTTTTCGTTTATCGTAAGTTAAGAAACTAACAAAATTTATGATCAGCATTGGGTTATCTAAGTCGGTTAATATTTTATGCGAAAACAACATTCATGACATGAAAAAAAATTGCCGAAAAACGCAGTACATATTACCTGACAAAGTTCACTGTTAGAAGAGTTTAGAACCATAATAGTGTCAAAATTAGCTGAATATGGTACGAAATTGAACAATACTAACGTACTTTCTTAACTTGATTAACGATAAAATGGTTTAATTTAGTGCCCTATTGAGATTCCACAAAATTTGTGCCGAATTGTGGTACAAGGTACTAATATTATGGTTCAAAATAAAATAGATTTTTTTGAAAATATATGGTAAAAAGAAATGCTTCTTAAAATTAGCAAGATAATAACTTTTACACGGAAATGTCATTTTTTTACTGAATATTATCAAATTTTAGTAATATAATAAAGAAACTAAATGTGTTTTAAATGTTTAATATATTTCTGTTTTATTTTTAATATTCTGTTTGTTTTTAATGCACCTGTTGGTTTTAATATTCTTGTTTCTTTTCTCTTAACGTTCTTGATTTTTCATTCCATTATCTGTCGTAAGAATTGTGTCAGCTCTTTAAAAAGTCAATTTAAACAACTTTCAAGCCTGATTTATTTGGATAAGCATGAAAATTTGCATATTTAGCCCTTTTGAGCATGTAACTCTTAATATTGTCTTATTGGGTTCAGAAATTCGACATCTATTACTTCTCCCGCAATATCCTGTTTCAACCAGATAATGATTGGAATTAGAGACAAAACTTCCCATAAAATAAAACTCTTCAATTAGCGTACCATGCTTATAAATGATAATGAAATAAAAGGTCATACTTTAAAAATAAAATTAGACAAATAACTAAGTGACAATGAAATATTGGAAAACGCAATTTCTCACCAATAGCATCCCAAGATTATTCAGAAATCTTCTCATCCCAATTTCACCCCTGACCCCATTTTCGAAATCGTTTTCTCATTTTCAGTTTTAAACTTTTGTTTGCGAAAAAAGAAAATAAGGATATCAAATGACTTTTTAGGTTGCATATTATTCAACATTAATTGCTTATAAGTTGTGTAAAAATCCGGCTCTTAATATCACCTCCGGTTGTAGATTATTCAGAATTCTTCTTATCCTAATTTCACCTTGCCCCATTTTCGGAATAGTTTCCTCATTTTCAATTTTTAATTTTCGTTTTTTGAAGAAAAAAAAGAAATAAATAAAGGCATATATCAACCTACTTTTTAGGTCACAAATTATTCAACTATTGCTCATAAGTTGTGGAAAATTCCGATTGTTAGTAACCTTATAAAAAATATGAATGCGGAGATTCTCTTCACTTTAAAAGGACGCTATTTCGCAGGGGGAAAAAACCCTATATAACAAATTCTGTTTAACGTATACATTAACAATTTAAAATTTAGGAAAATTTAACCTTGTAAAAAATATGAATAAACCTTAAAATAAACCATAAAGTTACAAATTCTGAGAAAATTTTTTCAAAATATTAAAATGTGGACAAATTACTGCAAGATTACTTTCTCACTGCGTAATCCTGACATAACAAGTTACATTTTTTCAGCTTTTGATACATCATGGTTTGCTCTAAGTTCACCTAAGGCTCCTCTAAATTAGAGACTCTAGGTTCACCGAAGTTCACTTTTCGAGAAAAGGGAGTTCATACAAACCTTAAAGTAAACCTTGAAGTTTAAAATTCTGAAAAAAGGCTTTCAAAATATTCGAATACAAATTTTAGCCATTGCAGGATCACTTTCTCACTGCGTAATCCCGCCATGATTTGTTTGTATTTTTAATACAGTCTAACTTCTATTTAACGAACTTCCCTTTTACGAATTTCTCTATTTTGCGAATTTTTTCAAGGAACTTATGACATTTTGGAAATTTCTTCGTAAAATAGCTTCCAAAAAGCGAAGTGAATTTTCTATTTAACAAACTTTTCTTTGAAATCCACTTTTCCTATTTCCCAAAAATATTTCAGAACATTTTAAACTTGTTAACGCATTCTATGGGTGAAATGCCCTTGAATTGATTTTTGAAGCCACTTAACTTTTAGAGAAAGCAGTAAAATCCCTTTCCCCTTTTGTTTGCATTTCAAACTAAATACTTTAACAAAATTAACGGATTTTATCAGCAGCAATTAAACTTAAGAACGCATGTGGTAATGTATGTTTAATATTACTTTTATAATAAATGCAAATATAATGTTATACTTAAATTTAGCTTCTTTCAGTTGAAAATGTATGTAATATTCTTGCATTCCATGCAGATTTCTTTTATGGTTAAAATTTGTAAAATAGATACTATTTTGAAAGATAAAGGTATATTAATTGGCAATTATTATGTCTAGTGTTTATGAATTTAAAACCTGTTTTGTGTCGTTTAAGTATTTCAAAAGGTGATTTTCTATTTAACGAATTTTCTATCTAACGAACTTATTATCGGGATTTAGCGACTTCGTTAAATAGAGGTCCGACTGTATTTTAAAGACGTTTCTTCAGCTTTTGAAGTGTCATGGTTAACTCTAGGCTTACATAAGCTCACTTTTCTCTGAACTTTTAATTTTAAATTACTAATGTATACCTAAAACATGGTTTGCCAGGAATGGTTTTTCCTGAGATAGTGTTTTCTTGAAACTCTGAAGCAGCAGCCTGACTCGATCAGAATCTCAAGCGCCATTTTGGTAGTCCAGTTCGATACCAGATTGTCTAGTCAAATAAATTTTTGAATATAGTTGTATCAATGTCGCATGTATTTTTGATATTTTGAAACACTTCTAATTATTAATGTGTTATTTCGATAAAATGTATCACATTACTGCAGCTTCTGTCACCTACGAATAAAACGTCATTTCCAGATACTGTACCAAAGGCTTACTATTCTACTGTACCAAAGGCTGTATATATATATAATCAAAACTGTGACATTGCGTACATAGAGGTAGCCTACTGTGTTTATCCGTCTACTTCATAGTTACCAATAGGATATTTATACGGTTAAAGTAACCGCAAATATATTTATGTTGAAGTAATTTTAACTTTGTGAACTACGTCTTAGGAGCCGGTTAAAAATTTTTTAGGTAATCACTTACCATTTGCTTATTTTTGATTACAAGACGTAAACAATGCTTATGCAAAACATCTAAATCCTTTTTTTTCAATTTTGTTTATTTAATTGCGAAAAATTATCACTTAGAACATTAAAAAAATTACGCTTAGAAAATTTTCAAATTTGAAATAAAAGTTAAATTTAGGGAAAAAAAAGTTAGGAAAAATATTTTGTTAAGAGGTTTCTAAATCAAAAAGTATTAAATTTTACTTTCTGAAAAGATACTTTTTTGTTTAATTTAATTTAACATTATTGAAGTTTGATAATTACTGTACAACTTAAGGCAAAGGGAAAAAAAGAGGTGAGGGTTGTTGCGGCGATTTTCTAACGTCAGCATTTGCTTTTTGCTTCTTTTGCCAAAAATATACTAACGTAATATTTAAACGACCCTTTTCTAATACGAACGGTGCTTTAAAATAACATTTTCTTCGTAGATATTAAACACTTGCTTATAACAATTTATAAGTACCTATTCTTCAAATGACGTTTTATTTGTAGGTACTGCACTTTCACGAATTTTTTCATTCGTCATAAGTGTTGCTATGAATGGCATTTTATAATTTGTAATGTACTTTCAACTGACGTTCCAGTCATGTAAACCAAACCAGAAAAAGACGTTTTATCATTTGTAACCATATATGTATTACCTAGATATTATGTAATGTCCTACTATTCTTACTTACTATATCTGCAAATAACGTTTTGTTCATTTTATAATAACACTGAAAATTACATTTACCAAAGTCTTTTTGAAGTAAACGTTACTAATATTATGAAAATAGTACTTGTAAAATTTTCTTTGATTGTTATTACATGAATTTTATTATAAATAGAAACACTATATATTGAATAATAAATTTCATTTTTTACTTTGATTCGGAGTTTTAGTGTACCAAATCTTTCATAACTTATTTAAAACTATAAATTTCATAAAGTAAGCATTAAAAAGCTCATAATAACAATAATATTGATAATTATAACAACCAAAACTTGATCTCTAACTAAACTGTTACATATACCAACGGTTACTCTTTATTGAATACTTTATTAATTTTGACCAAATGATCAAAATGCAATACTGACCGGCAGACATTGTAATGTGATTAGATTTTGGTTGTTTTAAAAACTATAACTGCAATAATAAAAGTATAATAACAGATATATTTATAAGTTAATTACAATATTGATGCTAAAATAAATATCAGTAGTGGAATTCTATGCAAATACAGTAGTACAAATACTAAAAGTAAAATAAATACTAGTGGTAAATTTTACAAATCAAAAGTAAAGATAGATTATTTTAGAGACATTGATACGAGAACCAAAACTATTTATTAAAAAAATTAAAAGTTCGACAGTGAAAATGTTTAAAATGAATTTATTACATGTTCATTTTACCGTTATATATTAGGCCCCCTTTTACTAAAAAAAGAACTTAATTTTTGCTACCATTTTTAGAAAAGTGCACGATTCAGAAGCATTGTAAGCTACCATTTTAAAGGCCGACACAAGAAGAAACTATTTATTTCAAAACAAATAAAGGTTCCCCAGTGCAAAATTTTAATTAAAACATTTACGCGTCCATTGCATAGTTATATGTTAGGCAAACTTTTCAATTAAACAAATACTTAGTTTTTGACTGCCATATTTAGAGAAATATACAACGCTATATGTTTATGCAATTTGTATAAATTTTTCAAATCAAATTGTGTTAATTTGATTTCACTAAAGACTTAGCATGAATCCAATGGATGTTATCAAGTAAAGAAATGTAATATTTGTCAGCTTATGCACTTTTGAGAGGGATATTAACATTCTTTCCGTAAAAATGAATAAATTACATAGGTTGCACTCGCTTTGGAAGATACTATAAGTTTCATAAATTTTCTGACTATTGAGACTTACATAACCGTTAATATTATGTAAATTATAGCCAATAATAATTACAAATAAAATTATAACTTAATTTCATTTTATGGTGTCTTGGGATATTCATCCACTTTTAGATGCACCTGGATAATTTGTTTTTTTTTTAATTTTTCCGCACATGCGCTGTACAAAGCAACTACTTCAATTACTCTTATCTGGCGCAGTTTTTATAATTTTTTATTTTTATTTTAAAGCAATAATTTCGTTATCAATTTAAAATTGATTCAAATGCTTTGTTTAATTTTTTTAAATATTTAAGCTATAGCAAAAGTGGCACTAGACCTAGTACCTAGTATATATTTCGGACATCGTCTAGTCATACTAGGTCTGGTTAAGTGTCATTTTTTTAAGGTCAAGTGCCACTGCCCGGTATACATTTGCCGGGTATACCCTACACTGATGTTTTTTTTAGGTCAAGTGCCACTGCCCGGTATACATTTGCCTGATACTCCAAACACTGATGTTTGTTCTAATCTATCGTCAGTAAGTATTAAAATATCGAATAAACGTAATTATATCCACGAATAAATTAATATCAAATCGGATGTAATAAATATTTCGGACTTTCACCAAAGCGACTAATTTGATTGTCAACATTCACCGGTGAAAGTCAACAACCACCGATTCCGGTCATGCACAGTAGCATGCACATCATTTACATAATAACCTCATCAGGACGATTATTTCATACTTTGCCTAAATAGCATCCGGCATTTCAAAAAATAAAAATAATTGGTTTTGTTGGCGATGATCTCGTAAGGCGATAAAGAATCATGCATAGTACAGGTAAGGAAGAGATTAACCTCGAAGGAAAAGTGGATGAATACCCCAAGGAACCCATTTTATAACTGATCTCAAACTGCCAATTCATTTTTGGGGTTTACGATTATCACTGTCCGTGACCTTCTAACAATGAATCCAGCACAGAAAATAATGGAACTCTTGCGCAAATACTGGACTTCAAGTCAATCTTGATCAAATACAAACTTTATCAAATACTCAGACTTAAATACAAACTAGACTTCTGGAGGAATATTAGATGGAACTCACGTGCATTTGTGTTACGCGAGGAAGCAAACGACGAAATCTTCTCACTGTTAACTCAACGGCAAAAGGATTATAACAAATGATTCATCTACTACTGAGGATATGACTGTGAGCAAGGAGCAAATTCGTACCGACCAACCATTGCTGGGATTTGAACATGGGTCAACTCATTGGGATGCCAGTGCTCTATCTCCTGGGCCACCATAACTTTGACCATTATAATTTTGATTTATTACAATCGTTGAACAGCTTACCCAATTACGGGTTTACGACAACTAATGTTTAACTCCGTAGCCCTGTAATTTTGAACCCAATCGAGAAGACCAGGGAGCTCTTGGATCAAGTATTGGGAGAAATTTGCCTTCGTGAAGGACTTTTTGATGGGGCTAACCCACATTTGCGTTACAAGATAAGGAAAACATCGAAAACCTCCCCACGGTTAGCTCGGTGGTAAGGGGACTATAACTTATAATCCGTGTACCATTGAGGATGTTTTTCGTCAGCACTGTGGTCGGTACGAATCGAGGGAGGAATTTGTACCGACCAGCCATCGCTGGGATTCGAACCCGGTTCATTTCACTAAAAGGCGAACGCTCTATTTCTGTGACACCATTATAATTAATCGCCAGAAAGAATTTATCGTCTTTCAAAATTCCATCCATTTTTCGACTAGCTATAGTAACAGAATAGCAACTGTAGCTCCTCGACTACAGAAAATACAATTTTAATCGTTTCTTGAGCACTGAAAGCAGAATTAATCTCCGTATAAA